GGGCTTGAAGTTCCCAGATCTCACTCATGTTTTGGTGACTCTCAGACCAAACTAAATCCCTGTGAAGCTCTTAAGTCTTGATACGAAATAAGCCCATGTGTCTACACAGAGCTGAGGGTCAACTCCTGTGACTCTGCTGTCAGCCCAGGGGACTTGGATGCGGCGGTCTGCGCCGGTCCTTGCCAGTCCTGGCCTGCGCTGGAGCGGGAGGCTGGGGTTTCTAGTTCACGTAGCTCTTGAGAAAGATGAAGAAAAGCTGAGGGCTCTTCGTGCCCGTAAAGAAACAACTCACAATCATGTTGTAACTCATGACTCAGCTGGAACAATTGGGGGAAACTTTAGGAACAAGTACTGCAATAATCAGCTTATTATGATTTACAATAGCAACAAGCCTTCGAAACTGCCAGCTGCCAAAACGCCTGCCTTTTACTGGAAGCGGCCGCCCAGATCCTCCCTCCCCCCTCCTCCTTGGTGGGACCTCGCAGGCCTGACATCACGGCAAGCCCTCCTCAACTAGTGCCAACAGAAAGGTCACTTGCTGAAACCCAAGTCCCTGCAGTTTGCCAGACCAGAGTCAGCTCCAGATTCCAACCTGTGGCTTTTAAAGGAGCAGGACGTGCTCTGACGTAAGGCTTCGTCTTAACTCAAGCCCCCTGCACAGGTCCTGTCCGTCATCTCTTAAGGGACCCGTTTGGTCTCCCAGCCTACCTCGACTTTGTTCTGATCAGTGAGGGGGTAATGGGGAGGAGGAGGTGCAGCTGGACTGAATGAAAGCTCCATCCTGCAGAAACCTGGGCACTAATTGAGGAGCTCCCCTGCTGCTGATAGGACCCTCCCCCAGGCTCACCGTCTTGGGAATGTCCTGGTCAGTTCTGCGGCCGTATGATGTGGTGGATGACAATGTGGTAAGACCCCCTGGTTTTGCCCTGAGCCTCCTGGTCTCTGGCTTTGTGTGGGAACATGGGCAAGTCCGTGGCCTAAAGTCTTCTTACCTTGAAGATGGGCAGAAGAATATCCACTTACAGAGCATCACACGTGACCTCTTAATTTCCTTAATGACCTAAGAAGGAATTGTTGGCTAAAACCCAGCGGCTGTTAACCACAGGTACCGTGGTGGCCTCAGGGCCCCCTAGGGCTGTAAAGGGGCCTCCGGAGTCAACGCACTGCCCCCACGTGGTCCCTGATACAGCTCCTCACCAGGCTGGGCGGGGACACGTGAGGTCCCCAAGATGCATGCTGGGTGGGCTGGGCAGCTGTCATGATGTGAGGGTGGCACTGGGACCCACACTGTGTTTTGGGATCAGCTCTCACTCTCTGAAGCCGAGACGGAGGGCCCCTGAGCAGATGTGGTACTAGAATTGTCCTGCAGAGGGCAGCAAGTTTCCATAAAAATCAGCCTGCCCGGCACCCAATACCTAAACTCAGCCCAGGGACGGTTCCGGGCCACTCCCCTTGGAGCCCACGACAGAGCCCTCCACACCCCAGGAGATGTGAAGTCACACATGATCTTTGCAGGAAGAGGGGCGGGGAGGAGAGAGGCAGAGGCTGCAGGGAGAGGCAGCTCCACCACCCTCCCTGAGCAGGGGACAGGAGGAGATGGTGCTGCGGGCTCTGGCCCAGCCTCCTCCATCCATGCCTCCAGCTTTTGTGCAGGGACGCACAGGGTTCTGTTCCTCAGTGCAGCCTCTCCTCCCTCCCACCTGCGAGGGGACCTGTGTAGGCCCCCGTCATCACCCGGCTGCTCTCGGTGACCTTCACCTTAATGTCCCAGCGCCCCAGTTTGGGTCTGGGCCCTCTGTGACCTGCCCCTGCAGGCCACTCCAACCTTCTTCAGTCCCCTGACTGCAGCCAGCCCCAGCTGCGCTCTCGGTGTCAGGTGGAGGAGGTCAGCTCTGCCTCCCAGCTGCGGCCCCTTTCTCCCTCCTCCATCACTTCCACCTTCCTGCAGAACACCTGGTCGTCTTCAAGGATCCATTCCGGCCATCTCTGGCTCTGCCGCTCTGCCTCCATTTCTGCTGGAGTCTTCCCTGTGCCCACAGACAGCGTCAGAGCTCCTGGCGCACTCTGGGGGCCCCACCTGACCGAGACTCCCTTGGGAGGACCGGATCCTGCTCCTCTCTAGCTTGGCCTCCTGCCTCCACAGGTACAGGGCCTGGGAATGTGTTTTAGGGTGAAGGCAGTACCGGGTCCTCTAGGCTCATCCCTTGTTGTCCCTGGGTGCCCTGGTCCCTGGCTGAACAGCGGCCTGGAGGCAGCTGCTGCGCTTGGTGCCCTCTCTTTCGGGGTCCAAAGGGGGTGCCACCTTCCCTGGGGGATGAGCAGGCTGGGAGTTCAGCCAGACTTCAGGTCCCTGCTCCCCAGGCCTCCTAGACCAGGGGGGATATTGAAAGAGACAGGAGCCAGGCCCCAGGTTAGAGCGGCTTCCTAAGACTCCCTGCTGGGCCTAACATGAACCCTTTATTGGCTGGACTGTGGGAAGAGCCGGAGGACCTTCAGGGAGCTGAGCTGGAGCGGTGATGGGGCTTCAGGGCATTTGTTACCATCCTGCTGTTATTTCAGTGTTTGAACATCTAGATGACTCAGGGGTCATGGCCCCAGCTGCCTCGGATCAGGCCCAGGCTCTCCGTACTGGGGAGAAGGAAGGAGCTGGGAAGGTCTGGGAGGCAGCAGCAGAGTCAGGAGCTGAGCAGCTTGGGCAGGAGGGACTCGAGGCCCAGCGTGGAGACCCAGGACCCTCTCTGCAGACAGGCTGAGCATGGGCTCACCTTCAAATGAGGTAGCGTCCCTGGCTGCCGTGACCCGGCCCAGGTGGTTAACATTATAGGCCCTCAGCGTCTGCACTTGAAACCCTGGGGAACAGCGTCAATTTCCTGATGAGAGAGCGTGGCGCACGCTAGCACCGTGTAGGGTGCACCCTCATTCCTGTGGCCCTCAAGGCTATCTGTGTCCTTAGCGTGGGCCCGCTAATGCCTGGTGCTCTGGCCTTCCCCGGACCAGGAAAGGCTGGCAGTGACGCCTCTGTGGTCCCCTGGCTTCATCTGGGGCCGCCTCTTACCACAGTGTGCTAGGCTCCTGCCGCCTCACACCACAGGGCCTCCTCACCTCCTCTGGAACCCATCCCGTGTCGCTCTGCCCCCAGTCCTGGAGTCTGTCCCCTCCTTCGCCTTCTCTCTGAGCCCTGCTCTGACGGTGGATGCAAATGCTAATCAGGTAAAAGAATCCGCACCTAACTGTACTGGTTTAGTGCTTCCCAAATGTAGAACCACAGATACATGGTGGGGAGGAGAGTTCTTAGCAGTCTCTGGAAGGATTTAAAAAATTTTATGTTTTCGTTTTATTTACGTGTTACTATTTTTTGAGATGTTTTACTCCTGTCTCCCAGGCTGGAGTGCAGTGGTGCAATCTTGACTCGTTACAACCTCTGCTTCGCAGGTTCAGGTGATTCTCCTGCCTCAGGCTCCCGAGTAGCTGGGATTACAGGTGCGTGCCACCATGCCCGGCTATTTTTTTCTTTTTGTTTTTTGTTTTTTTTTGAGATGGAGTCTCGCACTGTCGTCTGGGCTGGAGTGCAGTGGTGCCATCGGCTCACTGCAAACTTCCCCTTCTGGGTTTAACTGATTCTCCTGCCTCAGCCTCCCAAGTGGCTGGTATTATAGGTGCTCACCACCACGCCTGGTTAATTTTATATATATATATATATATATATATATATATATATATATGTTTTTTTTTCGTTGTTTGAGAGAAAGGCTCACTCTGTCGCCCAGGCTGGAGTGCAGTGGCACACGGTCCTGGCTCACTGTAACCTCTGTCTGCCGTGGTTGAAGCGATTCTCCCCTCTCAGCCTCCTGAGTAGCTGGGATTACAGACACTTGCCACCATGCCCGGCTAATTTTTGTATTTTTAGTAGAAACAGAGTTTCGCTGTCTTGGCCAGGCTGGTCTTGAATTCCTGACCTTGTGATCCACCCACCTTGGCCTCCCTAAGTGCTGGAATTACAGGTGTGAGCCACCGTGCCCGGCCAAATTTTTGTATTTTTAGTAGAGACAGGTTTCACTATGTTGGCCAGGCTGGTCTCGAACTCCTGACCTGGTGATCCGCCCACCTCAGCCTCCCAAAGTGCTGGGATTACAGGTATGGGCCATTGCAACCAGCCTAATTTTTGTATTCTTAGCAGAGATGAGGTTTCACCATGTTGGCCAGGCTGGTCTCCAACTCCTGACCTCAAGTGATGATCTGCCCACCTTGGCCTCCAAAAGTGCTGAGATTAAAAGCATGAGCCACCGCACCCGGCCTGTTTTCATTTTAATGAACATAGTTTAAAATCAAGGTAAGCAAATCCTGGAGCATTTGGAGGAGACGGAGGGAAAAGGGCCTGAGGACTGTGGATTGTATCAGTGCCCAGGGGTCAGTGCTGCTTTACCCCAGGCAGATGCGGAAATGTGCTCATGGGTGTTGCAGGGCCTGGATGGTAAGCAAAGGGGAGCCGAGTCACTGCTTGGCACCCAGGACAGGCGCTGAGCTCCAGAGAACCTGGGCCCTGGTGGCTGCTCCTTCCTCACCTTAGACGCCCGTTTGATGTCTGCAAAACATCATCTGCTGCTTTAAATTAATGCTGTTCGTTGGAGTTTTATTCGTTTTGTAGTTTTGTTTAGCCATAATTAGTAAATGGGTCTTGATTTTATAATTGAAAGGAGCAATAATTACAAAGAGTTTATACGTAGCCTGATGAATAATAAAATGAACTTGAATCAGCCCTGGAAGCCCTGGAGGAATACGGACCCATGGGCGGTCTGTACATTCTAGATGTTTGGGAATCCAGCTGTTGATGACTGAAACCTGTGAGGCCAGGAGGCAGCCTATGAGATGGCCTGAGAAAGGAGCCACCATCTATCAAGGCTGTGTGGGCGCCAGGCTCTGGGCCTGATGATTTGTTGAAGTTCTTTCATTGAGTCTCCCGGTAATCCAATGGAGTGGAATTCATCTCATTTTTCAGATGAGGATCTTGAGGCCCAGACATGTCAGATAACTTGCCTAAGGTCACACAGCTAGGAGGTGGTGGATCTGCTAAAACTGCATTGACGGCGTGTGAAAGACAGTAAGACTTTATTTAGGGTGGGTCGCAGCATCTGACCATGGCCACAGTAGCTGGGGAGAGAGATTGGGGTCACTCTGAATTCAGCATGGGCAAGTGGGAATTGATGGCCAGAGAGCAGGGTGGGCTCAGTGGAAGGAAAACCTCTTTAGAGGAAACATGTGGGGGAATTCTGGCTAAATGGATCTGATGGGATTCTTTTTTTTCCTGTTATTATTATACTTTAAGTTCTGGGGCACATGTGCAGAACACGCAGGTTTGTGACATAGGTGTACACATGATGGTGATTGGCTGCACCCATCACCCCATCATCTGCATTAGGTATTTCTCCTAATACTATCCCTCCCCTAATCCCTCACCCCCTGCTATCCCTCCCCTAGCTCTCCCACAGACCCTGGTATCTGATGTTCCCCCTCCCTGTGTCCATGCATTTTCATTGTTCAACACCCACTGATGAGTGAGAACATGCGGTGTTTGATTTTCTGTTCTTGTGTTAGTTTGCTGAGAATGATGGTTTTCAGCTTTATGCATGTCCCTGCAAATGACATGAACTCATTCTTTTTTATGGCTGCATAGTATTCCATGGTGTATATGTGCATTTTCTTATCCAGGTTTTCTTTATCCAGTCTATCATTGATGGGCATTTGAGTTGGTTCCAAGTCTTTGCTTCTGTGAACAGTGCCACAATAAACATATGTGTGCATATGTCTTTATAACAGAATTATTTATAATCTTTTGGGTATATACCCAGTAATGGGATTGCTGGGTCAAATGGTATTTCTAATTCTAGATCCTTGAGGAATAGCCACACTGTCTTCCACAATGGTTGAACTAATTTACACTCCCACCAATAGTGTAAAAGCATTCCTATTTCTCCACATCCTCTTCAGCATCTGTTGTCTCCAGATTTTTTAAAGATCACCATTCTGACTGGTATGAGATGGTATCTCACTGTGGTTTTGATTTGCATTTCTTTAATGACCAGTGATGATGAGCTTTTTTTCATATGCTTGTTGGCTGCATAAATGTCTTCTTTTGAGAAGCGTCTGTTCATACCCTTTGCCCACTTTTTCATGGAATTGTTTTTTGTCTTGTAAACTTGTTCTTTGTAGATTCTGGATAATAGCCCTTTGTCAGATGGGTAGATTGCAAAAAATTTTTTTCTCATTCTGTTGGTTGCTGGTTCACTCTAATGATAGCTTCTTTTGCTGTACAGAACCTCTTAAGTTGAATTAGATTCCATTTGTCTATTTTGGCTTTTGTTGCCATTGCTTTTGGTATTTTAGTCATGAAGTCCTTGCCTATGCTTGTGTCCTGAATGGTATTGCCTAGGGTTTCTTCTAGGGTTTTTATGGTGCTAGGGCTTATGTTTAAATCTTTAATCCATCTGGAGTTAATTCTTGTATAAGATGTAGGGAAGGGATCCAGTTTCAGCTTTGTGCATATGGCTAGCCAGTTTTCCCAACAC